AGAATGAAATCAACACATGCCATTGAATGTATCCAACAGGCTTTCAGATTGCGGAAACATTGTGTCATTGACCTTAGTATACCTACGGATAAAATGCCCATACATGTATAGTAGGCTAAATGGAATAAGTTTATTTTAAGTTCGTAATAATCATAACTCATCAGATCAGAAATACATGAAATCATAGATCATTATAGCGAATGTCAATATTCAACAACATTCAAAATTAATGTCCGCTCTAATAATTCAAACAAATATGGTTTCAGTATAAATTGGTGATTTTATGGTCGTCTAGACTCGGGTATTATCAAAATTTTATATATTTGCTATTTGTTTTCAAGCCAAGTAAATGTCAATAAATTCAAACATGTATTTACGTGGCTTACATTCCGTCGCTGCTTTACCATTCCATTATGAATATCGTCAGTTCATATCAATGTTTATATTTGAAATCAATCTGAAGATACGGAATATGAGATCTTCCCTTTATGTTCGTAGAGGCAGGTAAGCCTATTGTCTAATGGCGTTTGGTCAACTCGTCCATAGATTAATCGTCGACAACCCTGGATGCTTCGCCGACAACTACGTAGGACTCTAATCACGCGATCTTTCCCGCGCTTTTACGCTGTCATAAAATTTTGCCCCTTGACTATGAAGGCTAAAGCAATTCATCGAATGATCGAACACGCCCCCTCTTTCGTACAATATATTGTCATACGGTTAAATGTCCTTACCTGGTGTTGCCACATTGTCTAAACCAATTTCAATAGAGCTTCTCAGTTCTCATGCAGTAGCTTTTAAAAAAGCTTTTCTTGTTCCCTCCTCTGTGTTATTTTAATGAGAGCTCTTTTCTGAAGGAAAACATTAAAGGTATCACGATGTTAAGGGAGACAATCGTGTGTACGTTGAAGCTTAAGACAACAACGCTGTCATTACGTGTTATAGACATTGATCAACTTTCTGCACTTGCAGTATTTCTAAACCAACAGTCGGTTGTTGTTTCTGAGTTGTGGGTGGATACTTTGACCGATATAGAAATGTGTCATTTTCCTAGTTAATCAAAGATTTATGCGGATATAATCATGGCATTTCAACAATGTTATCATAAGCTTTATATTCGTATCTCCACATTTCTGAAAATGACTACAATATTATACATTATACATGATTGTATTCATATCAGTTTCAAAACAGCCCATAGCTTTGTCTAGCGTAGACCCATAATGTAGGTAAATGGCATAGAAAATCGTTTTCGGGCGAGAATGATGCTTTTCAATGTTTATTCTTTTATTATTGCAACAAAGTTTTACCAGCCTTTTTATTCTGTTTAGTAATTTATTTAAAACATTGGTATTGTATGTTAACAGTTACAAATCAAACGACAATGTAGCTCCACTGGGAGCTCTGTAGATCCTTGGGGAGAAAGAATCATATGAAAAAAATGCCCACGTGTCTGGTAATATAACATGTCTATCACCATTTGTTATTCCCTGTTCGTTTTTAAACACAGTGCTTCAAAGGATGCATCCGTAAAATATTCAACATTTTGTTATTGTTAGTATATGTTTACTCTTATCAACAATTACTCAACAATGCCTATTTATCTGATAGTGTAGCACAGCTATCATAAGCCTGTTATTTTTTTACTCTACTTTCACTTTGCCATTTAAAAGAATCAAAATAAAATATTGAGAAGATTTTATGATATGACTTTGTTAAAGTCTGGTTTTGAATATAAATTGGAAAATAATCTACAAAATCATTGACAAATTTATCGAGTTTCGGCTTAAATCAAAGTAAATCAGGTTTACAAACAAAGCTGACATGTCGAACTGTTAGACATATATAGGCAATGACAATAGTATACACAATAGTACAATCATTACACTATAAACCATTGTAATCTGCGATAGAATCTCTTCCGTAAAGTTGTACCGATAAGAAATCAATTTAATCATTCGGCAATTCTCGACAGCCCTGTTAAAGAGCGCTAAGCGTAACTTCCACGGAGGCCGTTTGCAATTTAATTATTGAAATCCATCGCCAATACTATATGACAGATTATATAACGATTTTTTTATTATTGATTAATTCCAATTAAAAATAATCATTTGATTATTAATTAAGCTTGAACAGGCTAGTCTATATATTAATTCATTATATAGAATTAGGCCAAAATTCAAATAAATTCACATGGGAACTTGAACTTATTTATCTTCTGTAAACGACCATTGACAACTATCAATTGCGAAGTACAATCTTACTGTATACTGTAAACGACAGTTTTTTTATGACTTCGAGTCTAAAAGCATGTTGTTGGAAAATCCGAGAGCACATCTAACTTCTATCCCAATTTAAATTTGATAAAAAAAATCCATCAGAATGGATAAGGAGTTGATTAACTATAGAAGAAAAATCATGACACGAAGCGTATTTGCATACTAGCAAGTAGAACACAATTACTAATACGAATTACTTCAGATCATGATTGACAAGTTGAATGACACGATACGAAGCAATTCCTAATCTATTGTCTGAGCAAAGTAAAACGTTTTTTGAATCTATTATTATTATTAAGAGAATTGGAATAGCAGCCTCAAAATTGTTCTAATAGTCTTATAGGATGTCTTTGCGTTGAAAAAATATAATTTTTAGTAAGTTTACATTGAAAAGAAACACATTTCCTTCCTAAAAATTTCAACCCCAAAAAGTCACAAACTTTGGCTGAAAATTGTCCTCTGTAAAAACAAATCTTGTAGTGATAATGTGTATATACATATGTTTATATTTTGAATATATCAAGAATATCAGTATACTATATGGGGACTGCTATAGCCATTCTCATAAAAATAATGGAAAAAATTCAAAAACCTTTTACTTTGCTCACACAATAGAACTGCTCACAGCCCATCTCTAAAAATACTGCCGATCTAAATAAAAACAGCAGAGCTAAATAAAAACAGCAGATTTAAATAAAAACAGTCAGTCTAAATAAAAACAGCAGATCTAAATAAAAACAGCAGAGCTACATAAAAACAGCAGATCTAAATAAAAACAGCAGATCTAAATCAAAACAGCAGATCTAAATAAAAACAGCAGATCTAAATAAAAACAGCAGATTTAAATAAAAACAGCGCAGAGCTACATAAAAACAGCAGATCTAAATAAAAACAGCAGAGCTACATAAAAACAGCAGATCTAAATAAAAACAGCAGAGCTAAATAAAAACAGCAGATCTAAATAAAAACAGCAGATCTAAATAAAAACAGTCGATCTAAATAAAAACAGCAGAGCTAAATAAAAACAGCAGATCTAAATAAAAACAACAGATCTAAATAAAAACAGCAGATCTAAATAAAAACAGCATAGCTAAATAAAAACAGCATAGCTAAATAAAAACAGCAGAGCTACATAAAAAAACAGCAGAGCTAAATAAAAACAGCAGAGCTAAATAAAAACAGCAGAGCTAAATAACAACAGCAGCGCTAAATAAGCAGAGCTAAATAAAAACAGCAGATCTAAATAAAAACTGTCGATCTAAATAAAAAAGCGCAGAGCTAAATAAAAACAGCAGAGCTAATAAAAACTGTCGATCTAAATAAAAACAGCGCAGAGCTAAATAAAAACAGCAGAGCTAAATAAGCAGAGCTAAATAAAACTGTCGATCTAAATAAAAAACAGCAGATCTAAATTTTGAAAAAAAAATCTGCCGATCTCGACAGTTGAAAAGTATTATAAGTAGTTTCTAAAAAAAGGTGAAAACTATAAAGATAGGACTAAAATAACCTCCGTCAATAGAAAACTTTGTGTAAAATAACAAATTAAACAACTTGTGGGTAACTATTTACAGATTCTTGATGCAATTATCTTCAAGATAAAGTCAAACAATGGCAAAGCGTTCAATTAATTTTTCATACATATACAACGTTTCAACAAATTACATATTCGTATTGTTGAATTTACAGGTTCTTGGTTATCACAGAACTATATATTATATACCTATATCATTATAAATATTTCTATATTTCAATATCGCTTTACATTAAAATTTTGATGTATTGAGCACTATTATAACAGTGGCATTTCTATCTTTATCGCTCTACAATTGATATATTGAGAACTATTTTAACAGTGGTATTTCTATATCGCTCTATAATTGATGTATTTAGCACTATTTTAACAGTGGTATTTCTATATCGCTCTACAATTGATTTATTTAGCACTATTTCAACAGTGGTATTTCTATATCGCTCTACAATTGATGTATTGAACACTATTTTAGCAGTGGTATTTCTATATCACTCTACAATTGATGTATTGAGCACTATTATAACAGTGGTATGTCTATATCTCTCTACAATTGATGTATTGAGCACTATTTTAACAGTGGTATTTCTATATCGCTCTACAATTGATGTATTGAGCACTATTATAACAGTGGTATTTCTATATCGCTCTACAATTGATGTATTGAGCACTATTATAACAGTGATATTTCTATATCGCTCTACAATTGATGTATTGAACACTATTTTAGCAGTGGTATTTCTATATCACTCTACAATTGATGTATTGAGCACTATTATAACAGTGGTATTTCTATATCGCTCTAAATTTGATATATTGAGCACTATTTTAACTGTGAGAAATTTTTTGTTATCATTATTTATATAGTTATATTAGTTTTAGTTTTAGTTGGTCATTTACCACCACCATTAGTCGAATCAGGTGCAGAAAAGAAAGATGAAAGAGCGGTCGTGGTCAGCGCTTAATTCAAATATTACTTCAAATTAAATAACTGAACTTTTTTGTACTTTCAGGTGATGATGGAGGCCATGGCTCTAGGATCCCTGGTGGATCTTCTTGGTAACTCGGACGAGGTGAATTCAAGTGACGAACATGCCGATTACTGGAGGGAACTTCTGTTTACTAACAAAACCATTAACAACACTTCAAATTTAGGATCTCATCTAATTCAAAAAGATAAAACATTACGAAATGCAATATTAATTTTAGCCTATAGTATACTTTGCGTAGTGTCCATATTTGGAAATACATTGGTGTGTTACGTCATCTGCAAGAACAAACGTCTGCATACGGCGACGAACTATTTCATTGCGAATCTAGCCATATCGGATCTATTGGTGACGTGTGTAAACGTTCCATTTAATATTGCAAGGAATATTTTGGATGATTGGCCGTTTGGTATCGTTCTTTGTCAGCTTGTGAACTTCTCCTTAATGACTTCAGTGTACGTTTCCACTTATACGCTAACGGCTATTGCTTTGGATAGGCACCGAGTTGTCCTTAAACCGTTCACGACCAGAATGTCGAAAACAGCCGCTGCCGTTATACTGATTGCGATCTGGGTCGTCGCCGTAACGTTATCCTTACCATACGGCATCTTCAACACCGTCAAGGAAGTGAAATTTTTTGTGTCGTCTGCTCAGAGATGCTCGTCTGAATTTCCCGAACCGAAGATATTCTTTGAAAAATATTTGACATTGGCTACAATTTGTTTGCAGTATGTTCTTCCTTTGACATTAATTGGAATCGCATACGGTCGAATTGTGAGAAAACTGTGGGCGAGAACACATGTCGGAGCTGTAACTCACACGCAGCAGATTTCACAAGCGAAAGCTAAAAAGAAAAGTATAAAACTATTGATAACCGTTGTGATAGTGTTTGCTTTGTGTTGGTTGCCTTTAAACTTATATCATTTACTAACGGACCTGCATCCAGACCCGGCAGTGTTCCCTTATAACAGTAACGCATTCTTTATCTGTCATTGGGTCGCTATATCAAGCACGTGTTTCAACCCGTTTATATACTGTTGGTTGAATGAGATATTCAGAGAGGAGCTTTTAGCAAAACTTCGTTGGTGTTTGAAACGATCTTTCAAAATACATCCAGGATCGTTATTCGAGAGAGACATGACGCGTCAAAATCGTATTCGATTCTCCAGTAGACGGTTGACCAGCTTTACGCGATCGAGTCTGAGTTTTGGACGTTCCCTGAGCACTAAGAAAGAAACATTAAGCGTCAATATGGACGATATTCCGCTGGACACGAGAAAGATTCTTCTCCAAAAGTGGTCGTCTAATAACATCAGTGATATCACAGAAACTAACGAGTTGATTCCCAAATATAACAGTTCGGTGATTTTATCAGAATCTTGCACAAACCACTCGAGTTCTACACATAGCGTGGATGATAATGTTTCTAATTGAAGCAGATAGCGAACAGGATATTAAGGATTTATATGTTATGCTGTCGTGTCTTCGCGATTAAACGGTGTTGTCTTCACCGGAAATTACGTCTCCGGACAGAAATATCATGACGTTCCTGTGGGTTAAGAACTTAAGATGTTATCAACCCAGTTTATTTTTGATTTGATAATGGAAATCAAGAAAGTGCTACAACCATGCGGTCCGACAGCACGAGAAAATACTTTATATAGGCAAATACACGTTGGCTTAACTGTAGCGTTCTTCGGACGCACCTGTGGTTTTAGGTCCTAAAATAGTTTCATCTCAGATAGAAGTTGTCTGGAAATGGTGTTAAAGTGTTATTATTGGAAATAAGGAAGTTGGTGACCTCGGAGATCACGAAATAAAACAAAAACATAATAAACGTGGGCGCTTTTGGTATCGTTTTCCACACGAACATATGGTTTTGATATTTTACCAGCTGGTAGTAGATGGAAAACTATCATTTAAGGAAAATTAAGAATACAGTGACCACGGAGAACGTAGATCACAATGCAAAACAGACCGTTCACGGGCTGAAAATTGAGCCTTATTATTTTCGGAAGAATCTGGAACCTTCCAGCTCTAAAGCTATCGGATCCGCATGGCGACAGATGGTCGGGAGAAATATAAAATCAAGAATGTGACTGAGGTCATAGGTCGCAAAAAAATGAACTAGCAATTTTCGAGACAACCGGATGTGCCGAACTTTACAATGAGCTATGAATTGTATTATAAAAGCATGGCGATCGAACTATGGGCTGAAGAAACCAAGGGTCACGAATCTGAATTTCAACCAAATAAGATTAGTGAAATAATTGTGGAAAAAAGTTTTGAGTGCTTTTAAATATAGCTGATGATATCATATCAGATAAGAAATTTTATATCCTCATAAACTCTATGATTCCCCGAGATGCATTAGTGCATATTAAATTATTATATTGTATAATCTATTGAAATAATAAAATTGTTCAATGAAGCGTAACGTGTCGTTCGGAGATATTAATCGAGCTATATAATGCCACCCATGGGGGTCCCTTTTTCAAAATTTGCGGTATGGTAACGAAGCAGTTTATTTCGAGATTGTGAAAAAGTGAACATCGTGACTCTGTTGCTGATCCTTTCAAATCGCAACACAGTTCCTTTAAATAAATATTCGTTATTGTATGTAATGCTTTTTTTAAGAAAAACTTTTATATACCTAGTATGTATATAAAAGTTTTTTTTTTTAAAAAAAGCATGCAATATCGTAGACCGAAACATCAGCCTCTATTTCAGCCTCTGATAGCAATTTGGACAGTTGTTGGCTACTCCAGTCGTCAACGTTCTCAAAAGCTATCAGAGACTGGATAAAGGCAGATGTTTCGGACTAGCAATATCGATGATTTGATATTGTTTCACATTATGAATTTGAATGTTCATTTAGGAACCATCTCCAGATTATAGCAGGAATTAAAGCTCATAAATCTTAAAACAGAGAATAATAATCTCTTAAATGGCCTTTTTTATCCATAATGATAGCTTCACAGATATTCTAATACTACATAATGTAACATCATGCGATCGTAGTGCATCACTTCAAAAGCAAACTACATTAGGAAGCTTTATAAGGTTTTTAAATTTGGCATAGAAATGAAAGGTTTCTCTTTTTAAAGTTTTTTGTTTACATGAATTACTTCAGTAGGTTTTAACATCTTGACTTCTTTCTAGTTTAATACTTTGAAACTTTGAAAGCTTAAACAGTCGACATATTGACAGATTAAAGGCATTCACACTGCTAATCTTGTACATGTATGGTACAACACGACATTGTTTTAGTTTCCCTACAGCAAGCATGATTTCGGAGTTAGAAATTTCAAGTAAAAGACACATTCACGAAACCGGTTAACGTTTTCTTTTAATTAGTTGTCATACTGTTTTGAGCTCATCGATTTTGAAAAATTGATCATTATACAATATCATATAACAATATACATTGCAAGAGGCCATCAATTCTCTGCGATCGGTGCCGATAGACTGTTTTGTTTTTTTTTAATAATTCTCTCGATATTCTGACAAAAAAGTGCAAAAATGTCAACGATTGACTTTCCTTTAACGGCACTCTGTCGATATGAAATCTAAATTCAGCCTTGATCGTCTGACATACTGATAAAGATAGTTTCCTTAATGGAAAAAAGTAATCGAGATAAAGTAAAAGATGGTAACTGTTATTTACTGATAAGCATGCAATCTTCAGAGACAATAAACAGTCACAATATCTAAAATCACTACATGTATTCCGTTGAGTTCAGTTGACTTCAATTATAATGGCTACATTGAATGGAATGGATTTTTCTTTTTCGTCTTTCATTCAATACCTGTTATTAGACGATGCAGTGAGGAATGACGGAAACTGACACTATCAGAAGTAAAGTCTATCTGCAACATACCAGGGATGGTTATATATACTCTCTAGCCAAATAAGGATATATATTTTTTCAAAGAATTTTTCAACTTTTCGTCATTTATTTCAAATATATTATGTATTAAAATCCATATTCTCAAACCAAACGAAAATGTCAATTTAGAGATAACAGTTTTTAATACAAAGCGATGACCAAGCGCTTTTGGAAGGATTTAACGGTAACATATAAGAGTGATAAGAGTATAATGGTCGAAACGCCGTTAATAATCTAATAATGTACATCAAGCAGTTGAATTGTCCATCAAACCGTGTCCACTGATGATAATCAGTAAATATTATTAATCATGAATAAATGATAAAAGTTATTGAAGGGACGAGACCTGGTATACGCTAAATAATTTTAGTAGATATGTTTCCGATGGTAGGGGGTTAACAGTCAACCATGGGCAAAAAAAAAGCACAGGGAGTTTAACTTCCAGGCGACAACCCAATTACATGTACCTGTCTATTGAGTTATTCCACTTTTGACGTTTATTTGGAAGGTATATATAACCCCCGAAACCGGCATAATGAACGACTATAGATCCCTTCCAACGTCAGTCCCTACGACCAGCGTCACTGACAAGGTGACCTCAGGATGAAAATTGGTCTGGCGAATTGGCAGACCTGTCCAAAGTAATAAGGAATTTGAATTTGACATAACGGAACTTTCGAGGAGCGATAATAATATAAATGTATTACTGTTACTTGTTCAGATCATTGATAAAGTAATCAAACCTTTATCTCGGTTATTTTATAGTCTCGCAGGCTCTCTAAAACAGTGAGATTTTAACGATGCCCACGAGATTTGCCAGTTGACGAGACTAGTTTTGTGATTGTTAATGAATTATCGGTGATAATCTACCGGATAAAAACAACTCATCAGCGTGCAGGAAATTGCTTCTTAGGGAACCTGTTATTTGACGATTATTTGCCTATTGGCTCGAGTAATTATGACCGTCGCATGTTGGTTAATGTGTTTTTAATGGCGACATTCGATGTAGATGAGTCGTTTCCATCTTAGATGATCTTTATATATCTTAATATTCTAAATATAGATGGAGAATCCATGTCGGTTTTTTACGAACTCAAAATCTTCACAATGCCAAGCTATTACGAACACAGTCTCTTCATAATGTCAAGTTATTACGAACAACGTCTCTTCATAATGTCAAGTTATTACGAACACAATCTCTTTATAATGTCAAGCTATTACGAACACCATCCCTTCACGATGTCAAGCTATGATCTCTTCACAATGTCACGCTATTATGAACCCCGTCTTTTTACAATGTCAAGCTATTACGGAAACAATCTCTTTAGAATGCAAAGCAATTAAGAACACCGTCTCTTCACAATGTCAAGCTATTATGAACCACGTCCCTTCACATTATCAAGCTATTACGAACCTTGTCTCTTCACATTATCAAGCTATTACGAATGAAGATTCTTCGAAATGCCAAGCTATTACGAACCTTGTCATCATTAGACACTTTTCTTGTTTGAAAGATCTCGAAAAGTCACATTTTGTCGAACAGCGGAATAAAAACACAGCTGAAACGAAAACAATTTTAGGCATATGAATTGCATTTGGTTGTTTTTCAGCTTTACTGACAGTTTCTGTAATTATTAGATACCATTCGGGAAATAGCCACAGACCATACTTCAGGCTTCACAAATTAACAGTAATATAGTTTAGCTATTACAATATTAACTGACTGACAGTTGTCCTTTATACTTCAATATTCAAAACCATCTGTTCTGCTGAGAGTAAATATTACTGATGGCTTCCTGGTTGGATGGTAGGTCAGGTCAATGTTTTTTGTAGTTTTTCGCATCATGAAGTGGAACGCTTCATAGATTGATATCCTTTAGCATTCATTTTCCAGGCCGATTCGTCAGCAGGTTGTGAATGCGCCTAGTAAAATTGCAGAGTTCAGTGGTAACAACAATACGGCTAATCATGTTTCATTAGGGCACATCGTGCACAATTTATATATGTTGCAAAGTACACTCAACAATATGAAGGTGCATGCTGGGAATGATCAGAACAGTAGTCTTGGAATGTTTTACCTATGTTACGTAACGCCATGTAATAATAATGAGATAAATCTCAGAGGAGAGCGGAACAATAAACTCTATTTTGATTTCCAACTTTAGAGTGATCTTTGGCGTAAAACCTAATTTCTCCACTAAAGTAGCCAGATAAAGCATTTTAAATACCATACCATGACAGAATTTTAAATAATGTTTAATTCAAGAAATCCATTTATGGATTAAAGTCTGGAATTTACTATAATAAGACTTGTAATTGGTATTGACTTCCGGTGAGGCCTAACTCGAAACAATTATATCGCAGCTGTTGATTGGCTAAATATAGACGCGATTTAAAAGTTGTCGCCAGGGGAGATAATTATAACTTGTTGATATCGTAAAATAGATTCTCACCACAGCCTAATAGGAGATGAAGTCTTCATAATGTCAACCTATTACGAACTCCGTCCTCATACCTTGACATAACTAAGTAGGCTACTTCTCGTATCACGGAAGTTTTGATTTCAAAGTACGCCAGTGAATGCAATCCTAGCCATCGACAGAAACACTGTTAACAATTTGGCAAGCTACTAGTCGAGAGTGTTTGTTCCTTGACATTGTGAAGATGTGTATAGGAGTTGTCCCTTTTCTCTATTTTCATATATATCACAGGTGGACTAATTTTTGCAGCGTAATAATAACCAATGACTAAAGGTGATAAGGTTTATTAGTAATTAGGTCACGAATACCAAGGGGGATAACCCAACATTAAGATTTAAGTTAAGATATACAGCATTTATTGACAGATGTGCATTCCTCTGACTCTCTGGCAGGCGAATTGACGACAACATCTCATCAGATTACTTCCACTAACTTGACAACTCTGTCCTCGACCACGACAGCCCTGAAATTAAACAGTTATATTTAGCACTGATAAGGAATTGCATTTAAAACAGTGTTCTTAATTTTTAGATACCGTCATGATTTTGTTTCGCATATCATATGATAAAATTGTAATAAACGCTATAGTGTTGCTTTCAGTTAACGTTATCCTTGAATGTGTCTATTTTCTCCTATTTTACTGACCAGTTATTTACTGTATCTGAGACCAACAACCTTCTTGATTCTGGAAAATGAAAGTCTACTTACGGAGCGCTCGGTTCTGAAAACATCGTCAGCATCTTCAGCTGTAGTCAGAAGAGCGGCCATCAGGACCAAACCAAGGATCAGAAGAACACGCATGATGGATCTGAATAGGAAAGATTTCACGACATATAATGAACTATCAGCTCTATAAATGCTTCAAGATTTAAATTGCAATGAACGGTCATACAGGGACAGAGTGTGATACCGAAGCAGTAGTATTTTCTCAACCATTGTTTACAAGGATAACAATATTGATTTGCGAGGATCCGTTCTACCATCTGGTCCTTGGCCAACCCGCTGACATTGATCTTCAGATACCTGGACCTATTATCAAACATGAGCCTTCTCTAATTTTTGTAGTTGCCCCATTGGTATTCATTGACCATTGTAGCAAGCACAATTGGCGCAAAAAAACGAGTTTTGTCAAGTTGTTTCATTGGAATACGACAACAGTACGAGTCTAACAGATCACCAGCACTATCGTTGACATAAAAAAAAATTATATTAAACAGTACCTGTTTCAAGCTTCTGTGAGAAATGAAATATTTGAATAATACCCGTTACTGTATTTATACTGTGTGGTGTCCACCATCTGCCACCGTTATCGCTAGACTGTCGGAACTCTGAACATGTCCTGTCGATCTGATTTCAGATAACATCAAGTCCATTGACATAACAAGGGTGTTGATCAAAGGCTTATGTTTTTGTTAGCTGTACCCATGTGTTACTGCATTTATACAGTTATACCATTAGCGTTGTTATCGGAAGTATATGTTGATCTATCCGCTAACCGCTTACTCTGCGATTGGGATCAACCAATCGGTATCTGTTTTTGATGTTTACATGGCTAATACTATATAATAATCCGGAAACGCACGGGAGTCCAAAATATGATTGTGTAGCAAATGCATCGGTGCATCGTCTTGCACCATCTGGAAACAGTTTAACCAAATGAACTACATAAAAGATTCTGGTAAGATTTATAAATATTGGTATAAATTGATAACTTGTGGCCCAAAGGAGAATTGTGACAATTATTGGTATTGCGAAGCTTGCACAAATTTCCCATTTAATATTTTGATATCTTCCAAAATCAAACGCCACTGTCCTCAAAACATAAAACAGGCGTTTGGAGATGTCATATCATGTCATGTATATTCCTGATGGTATATTTGATATAACAGTAAATCCATGTAGCAATCAATTGTCTTCTTTTAATCTATATTAAATGTCGATTTGAGTTGCTAAAATAATATAAATAAATGTGAAATTCTTGTTTTTTTAAAGGTTAAACAATCTAGTATCTTGCCATCTATACCAGTAATGTTAGTTTAGTAGGTCTCTGGTAAAACCTAGAATTTATAGGCTAGAGCTCGAAGGTGTAATAGTTTTGGAAAGGATAACTAATTTATAGGGTCATCGTAGACTCTGTTGAAACACCCAGATCGCTCAATACATGCCACTGGAACTCTAATTTACCAGATATCGTCTCACAAGTGCCATTTAAACCCCATGAGTTTTTTTTAGGGATATACAGTTACCACAGACGGATTATCATGTTCAATACAAAGGCTGAAACAATAAGATACCCTTTTTACACCGTGTCTAAACCACACCCCCATTCCTATTAGTCCATGTCATAACCCATTTTCGGGATACGATACTGGTGCAGAGAAGAAGGGCGTTACATCATTTTATTTCATTTCTAAAACCTTTTGATTCAAACTGGCGCCTATACACTTATCATCAAAGTTTTATTTTAATTTGAGGACATGATTTAATCATTTTGGATAAAATCGGAAATGATTCTAGAAATCAACAACAAATGTTATTTTATAACTGTCTTTTTAGTTTTTATTAGATTTAAAGCTTTTACAAAACAACCAGTATCACACCTTTTAACAGAAACCAATGGAAAAATGGAGCCTAAAACAGAATTATAAAAATATGCCAAATTCTAGAAATTTCAAATAAACTGATAAAAGCCACTAACGTCAGAACTGAACATCCAATAAAAACTCAACATAACATTTATTTCTTCCAAAAATTTCCAAATGTACCACTTCCGGTTGCCTTCATCTCGAAGTTCCTGATTTTGACCTGGCTTCCACCTCTATTTTTCTCACCTAATCCGAGCCTACTTATCATTCGTGCTGAAATTCAATAAAACAAAATCATCTGGTTGGTTAGAGGTACATGAAAATGTCCGAAGGTTTTAAACTGTTCGAAAGGCATAGGCTGTTTGGTTGACGCGGCTTTAACCCCACAAACACGACGGAAATTCCTGGAGCCTTGGTCTAATTAGAGTTCTGCGTGGCGTTTCAGGGGTGGGGGCGCAGGCGAGGGAGCATCCCCCCTACCCCTCAGAAAAGAGCCTGCCTAGATTTCCAAAAGACTGATAACAAGACAACTTAACTTAGGTCAAGTAAAGTGAGAAACGTCAAATAAAACTCTTCTTTTTTTATGTTGGCGAACAAAACTTGAATTGGAATCAAAAATACACAATTAATAATGGCTAGTTTACCTTTCATGGACAAAGTTGGGTCCATTTCAGACGATTCCATATGACTCATTGCACTGGGTCGAGTTTGTACGTGTGTCGCTGGAACTTTCGGTTCCGGTTTTTCATCAGCTACTTCCGGTTCATCAATATATTCTCGTGCTGCATCCTGAAGATTATCTTCTGTGTCCGGATACACCGTGCCTTGCACGTCCATCTCTGCCTCTTTATTTTCCGAATTCAAATTTAACTCTTCCATGTATTCTGCCATGTTTTGTTCTAATTCCTCGGCATAACGTTTCAAATCCTCGTCCATTTCTACGTTCGTATGCAGATCGATTTCTTGATCGCAACGGTGCAGTGTGATGGTATCCTCGATGTCTTCTCCGACGTCCGACAAGGATTCCACCATCATCAGGCTATCTGTATTTTCAATGGACAAGTCCACGCAGGGTTTAGCCTCTTTCATGTAAAATCCGGTATCAACACCGTCTCGGACCATTATTTCATGGTGTTCCCTGGAAATCTCTTCTAACCGGTTCATATATCTCTTCTTGATTGCCAAGGCCTTATTCGTTTCATTCGATTCGTAATCAACTTCAAACTCGAGTTGATTCAACTAAATTCAAAAGACAAAGTAGGCGAGATCATTCAGGTACTAAAACAGATCAACGACAAAATGATGACGTCACAATAAAATAATGGCGATACTATGCCATGTGGAAAATAAGCTGACAGAAGGGTGCCAATAATTTACTCGTTTCCCGTTTTCAACTTTGAACTTTATGCCATGGAGTCACCTCCAAAGCGATATGTGATAATTATATTCCAACAATATATATTCCAAAGTAGTGCAACCGGAAGTGTCTCTTTCATGGACATGCGCGTTATTGTGTACACTGTACCCCTACCTGATGGGTTAAATCTCGTTCTTCTTTACATAGATTCAGCCATTCAATAGATTCTTCAATACTCTCTCTGTCTTCACCTTCAGTTAGATCTATAGAGATTTACAAAGAAAATACATAGATCCCCATTTCATAGCCTGCATCTTTACCATGTCAAGCAATGACAAGTTGTACGTAATTGCTTGACATATAGTGAAGATGCATTTCATAGTGCGAAGTATAATTAAAGAATTGTTTTAGAACATGTTTTTCTTCTTTCAGCAATAGATGGATTTTAAAAACTGTGAGAAGCATGAGGATAGAACGGAATTACGCTTTTTGAAGATTGTGCAATGGTTATGGAGGGTTAGCTTAAAAGGTCATTAATAATGAACTAATTAAATGGTGTTTTACATGAGATAACAAAAGCAAAAGAGGCATTCATGTTGCTCTCAGATTTCAGTATTCCATAGATAGTCATCGCTATCATTAAACGGTTTCTAAATGATGCGCTTTGATTGGATAAAGATAACGTCATGAGAACGGGACTACGATAGAAAAACTTGTTAGATTCAAATGAGGACGTAAATATATCAGAAAATTATAATCTAATTTTGATAAGATTATAGGGTTCGGTACCTCGAGCAATCTTGAGGTTTTCAATTTTCTTATTATCGGCTGAGTCGATCTCATCTAAAACTGACTTCTTCATATCGTTTACCTTCTTATACTCATCTCTCAGTTTATCCTTAATGAACAAAAATAAATCTTTCGGATAAGCACTGTTTTGCCTGTCAAAACCAAAAGTACTGTCGTAGGAAGGTAAACCCTTAGATTGCAAGGGATAAGACATACCTCCCACAAGAAACTTGTGAAATTAGCCTCATAGGAGGGCCCGTAGTGTATACTAAAATGTTGGTAGCTAGAAGAGAGGTTAATGTCCAATTTGAGAATGTTGATATTGCAGAATAGTACAAAAAAGAGGGAGGGGCGGGCATGAATGAGTATCTCTCAATGAATCAGTGAATGAATCTCGTTCATAGGTTCATAAGAGTCTTGTTTTACTATCAACACGTCTGTTTACAGACGGTGATTTATTGCCACCCCCCCCATTACATCATTAAGTTAAACACATATGTTTACCCATTCGCTGATAATTTTGTTCTCTACGTGTCTCTTTCTGTCCTTGGCGAACTCGAGTTCATCTCTCTTCTGTAAAAGCATCTCTCTTACATCGTCTGGAACAAATCCCAATATATCCAAATATTATTTTCCAAACTCATAAAAATCATGAGAACAGGGTCCAAATTAAAACAAATGATGGCCGTTGGTTTTATTCTCGATCGGTGTGTGAAAGTGTGATGACCTTGAATAAGTCTTATTTTCTCGTATTTTCTCTTATTCCTTGCAATCAATCCAGCTGTAAATGAGTAAGTATAATCCGGGAAAGATAAATGTCAAGGGGTATGGCCAGCTGGTAGAAACGAACCTCGTGAACCTATGTTTTTATTCTTGTTAAAAAAAGGTTTTTTTTTTTCTTTTCTAAAGTGATAATGCTTCATGTCTGAGAATATTGACTGTATGTTCATTGTTGAACTGTGTAAGTTTCCTATCTTGATACTTGGTGATATTTACCTCTTTTAGCTCTCTCAAGCTCAATTCTATCACTATTTAGACTACCACCACTACCGGTAGTTCTATTTTCATTTTGCTTTCTTTTTAACATCAACGCTTGAAGCGAATCTAATGATAAACAACAAATGTTGAAACAGTATGGTGGCCCAATTACTGATTATGTACAAAAGAATCGGAATAAAAAGTTAGCAAAAGAATGGGTAATGAAGATCGACATTTAAATAAAAAAAAACCGTCCATATTTTATTTTGATGCTGACATTTTAAGGGAATTTAGAGAGGTTTTCTAAAAAGAAATATGTACGGTGGGAACACTGATAACTTCAATTTGCACCATTCAAATTTTCAGTCAGACGTCTGTGCAATTCAGCAACAATAAGTGTTAATAATTATGCTTTATCACATAATTATAAGGCCTTCGCGATAAGTGACGTCAGTTTTAGTGGAATTGTTGGAACCACAGACGTCAGAATGAAAATTGGAATAGTGCAAATTAATGCCATCAGTGTCCTCTTTAAATCCCTTTCACAGTGATTAGTCTTATAAGGCACACGAAGAGGCCATGAAATGGTTAAGTTAATAATAATTAATGGTTGATAATTGATAATTAATCTAGGATTAAGTATTAGAAGCTTAAAGGCGATTCAAAAGAAAGATGGTCAATTGTCACGCCTGTGAAGTAAATATACTATATGTTAGTATATTATACTCCTGGGTTTTATTATACACAACGTTTCAACAATTTACATTGTCACGACAAGATGAAAAGGGCGATGTAATATTGTGTCCCGTTATTAATGTGATCTACCCTGTAAATGTCGCTGAAAAACTAAAATTGGAATGTCAAGAGCATCTCACCTCTTTCAGACACAAGTTTTTCTCTTTTAGAATCTAATTCTGACAACTTATCAGTGCACTCGTTGATTTCATGTTCCATGTTTCCAATCAAACTCATTAAATTATTAACAGCATCCTCCGTGGCGTTTAGCGTCCCTTCAACAGCATCGACAGATTTCTCTCGGCACTTAATGTGATACCACAAGTCACGGGTTTCTCTTTCTAATTTTTTGAGGTTTTCTTTAACTGTCGTTGGTTTACTATTTATATCACACATTCTGTAACTACAGAAATGACATTAAAAAGAGTTACACAACCTATTTTTCTGAATTTTCATGATTGAACTGATGAAGACGGGAAACGTCACACAGTGTGCAACGAGCTTAGGCTACTCTTTATAAATTTGTATTCGTCGATAGAATTTACCGTGTTTAGCCTGAAGTGATACCTATTTCAAGTTGACGTGTGTGTTAATACATTGGCTTTATCAACTGTTTTTTTACAATCTTTCTGTCGATAAAACAATTTTGTTCAGTCTTTATGTCGAGAGCTCTAATTGGTAGTAGTCGTTAGAGTACAATCCAATCAAATTGCTGTATTTATAAACAAGCTTGAAACAAGGAAAATACCTTATGATGTCAGGGTATTAGACGGAGTGATATTGACATTTTGAAGATGAAACTAAGTATGGAGAGGATCAAGGTGAAGCAGAATAAGTAACACAAGAGTAATTTCAAAACAGGCTACAAAATAATAATTGGACAACGTCTTGTTGGAAAACTAGAAATCTAATAACCCGTTCCACTTTTCTTCCCACTTCCCTCGAAATAAATAGATAAAAGACTTAGCAGCCTACCTTATCAATAATCTACAATTTAATGTCGTCTGACAATAACTGACGTCACAAACGTCATCATAGCTTTCTTTCTTGATGTCATGGCTTCAGACGAACATCCGACAGAAGCACAGCTTGTGCATTTTTGAAAAATACTGCAAAGCGTGTTGATTAGAGATGCACGAATCATTTATCCCTTGGTAAGGAGAGGCAAGATTTAAGATATCAATATCGACAGCATGATTTAAAATGATAATAAGACAATTTTCCGTAATTCGGAGTTGTCACTGTCAAACCGACCTGATATTTGCATCATTGCGCTTTAATCAGGCGTAATTATTGTGAAGAACTGAAGGCTCCTATGAACTGAACAAAGATAGAAATTCAGATAGTTTGGATAGTTCTAAATGGTTGTTTGTAAAGAATCTCAACATTTGACGCATGTCGTCTTGATCAGTTTAGTACTGGTAGACGAAATTATGGTTATTGACGCTTCGAGGATCGTTTTCACAACTGCGTTCTTGTCATACTCTGTAAGGATGGTGCATAGGTATGGTGAGAACCGAGGGTTGAACGTTGAGGATCTCAATACGTTGAGTATCAGAGGTTCACAATACAATGCTTAATAATGGTTTCTGGCTGCTTTGATAGTGCCAGGATCTCAATATTTAACCGGAGTTTCTGTAATCAGTGTAGAAGACGATATTGTGGTTGCTGACCGCTTACAAGATCGTATACAGTATAGCATTCTTGACAAACGTCGGTAGGGATGGTATTTCAAATGTGGGGACTGGGGGTGGAATATTAAAGATCTCAATACTTAGAGGTTTACAATGCCCCGTACTTGCAAAATGGTGGTGTCTGGGAGTGTCAAGGACCATTGTCACAACTGCGTTTTGGGTACACTCTGTTAGGGATGGTGGCGCAAACGATATATTAAATGTACCGAGGGGGATTGAATTTTAAGGATCACAATATCTATTAGAGGTTTATAATTAGGGATGGTACCAAATGATTAAAAAGCGAGGACGGGGGTTGAATGTTGAGGATCTTCATATTTAACCAGGGACTCTGTTATCACTGTAGTAGACGGTGTATCAATAAAACAAGTGTCATAACCTTCTATTAGATATTACATTGATATCATCAATATGGTCAATACCCCCCGCAATAATCTGGTTGTCAATTGATACATTATTAAGAAATTGGTTTGAGTGACGATGGTGCTGATTCGAGTGTTTGTATAGGAGGAGGTTATCAGTTCGATGGGATGCTATTCATATTTTGCTAAATCATGTTTTCATATGGTCGATGACTGGGTTAAATTGCCAGAAAGATTCGTAGTTTGAAACTTGCAGGCTCTGTCGACCTATTCAACAATTTCTTGTTGATTGTAGCTATACTCGGTACCAAAATAGATGTTGTGTGTGTGTGTGTGGAAGGGACCATGGTTGGTGAAATCTAGCGAAGAAATATTCATCCATCAAGCCATCTGTTCACAAAAAACAACCCATACATCACATATTCTCTTCAATACGTGTACAAAGAACTGCTAATCCAGAAATTCGTCAAAATTCAATTTTTAATCTCAGTCCAGTAGCGCCTGTATCAAGTATTTTAGTTCTTGATTCAAGAAAACCAAGCAGATGATATTTCAACCATTGATAAGAATTTCATTACATTGATCATTAAGGAAAGATTGTCTTTCTTTTTCTTTGTTTTATTATCAATGAAGGTCGAAGATCACTGACATCGTGTCAGTTCTGTTAGCTAATTTTATACGATGGTGTAATATCCTAATTCAACACGATAGTTTCTTGTGCTAAATAGTTTGGTGTGTAAACAGAAGCTGACAACAAGTACACTAAATAGATTACCAATCGTGTTGCTCGGATAGAGGCTATTTGTTCTTGACCAATAGTTACAATCAATTCAAGGGACGTAACACATTAAATTTGACACCACCATCAAAACTGTTTTATAATCATTTATTTTCATACGAAGACATCTTTTATAGCTATAATCATACAATATAAACTACAAATGAAAATTGATGCAGTGCAGTGTCTCTGGAGATCTAGAATTATGGATATACGATGTGACAACACTAAACACAGCACTGGATATCCTCTCATCTTAATACTGTATAAATATAGCAATGTTTATGCATAGGCAATAAAGGCAGATTTACACCAAGAATTACTAATAAAGACTCATAATAATATAATGGTCTTCAAATAATTTAAACAAAATCATTGATTCAACATTAATAATGAAAATTTTAGGTTTGCTTAACAATTAGTATTCTTTTTAATACTTAATACATGATTTTTGGCTACTAATATAACTTTATATACTCTGGTAGAATGGAGGCTGTTGGCCATGTCATGAAATAATTGGTAAAAAATTATAATTTTAGTTGATATAGGGGTAGGGGAGAATTTATATCTGGTTGCCTGAAGGATACCTTTAAGTACCCATTAGCAATAGTTTCCGTGAACTACAAAAGTTTGTTATAAACAGACCACCAGTAGTAAAGGCTTTTGTGATGAATTTTTACTTAATGATATGAAATGATGAAAGACAAAGTACAATAATCAGTGGAAAAAAGCCCAAAATTTCCCAGAACAACCACAGATTGCAAAAATGAATAATATTGTTCTGGTTCACTTGGTCTCTTTCATGAAGATTTTTTATCCTCTGTTTGTTTATCATTTTTACATTTTTTAACAATTCTATCAAAATAATCCAGGTAAAATAATGAAATAACTCGGAAGATTCCAGAGGTCACCACCTGCAACGATATAAATATTAAGAAATGATTTAGAAAAATATCTAAATAAAGATTGCTATGGTGTTGAGAGAAAAGTTGATGAACTTGTGTATTTTCCTCATTGAACACTGCATGGTATTGCCTGCTTTAATTAGTCAATTAAGGATGATGAAAGAAAGATGTTTTACACTCGATTTCAGCCATCTGTATCACTTTACAAAATGGAATTCTTGTGTTTGGTTCAGTTTAAATTGAGGTGACACTGGGTACTCAAGTTTGGATAAAACTGATCTCTCAAAAGGGTTTCTCTCCCCTGCAGTAACTACAGTTACCTGTTGAAATGACGCAGGTCAGTTGGCAGGGAAACTGTTATAAAGCTCACCCAATAATTAAAGCACATGATTAAAGACATACTGTATAACAGCCATTTGTATCCCTTTTCAGAATATAAATCTGACTTGAGTGTATTTCCAGGGCATTAATCAATAAAGTTCTCCACTTACCTGCTGTGCAGCATCCATCATAGATATAACAGGTGACATACCACATGTTAATGATGATAACATATAACCATCTAGTCCCATATAACTAAAAAATTTACCCTTCTACAAAATAAAACAAAAGAAGATCAAAAATATATAGAAAAGCAACTAAAGAAACAAGCAACCAACCGATGTTTGTAAGGATGACAACATAAGTAAATGAGGATCCTTTCCACCACTGAGTCCCTGGTTAAATCTCTTGGCATTGATCTATCTTTACAATTGATGCTGGGTCAGCTTGAAAGGCTATCGGAATCCTCAGCTAGCATAAGATTCTGAGAATAAGGCAGCAGATCTCTGCCTGAAAGAGCTCTGGACAATACGCTTCATTAATCCATTAAGGTGCATAAAAGAAGGGCACTAACACTCTCTATCATTATGTTTGAAAGTAAATAACTTACTATAGAATCTTCAACTATAGTTTTAGCCACTTCATGAGGTGAAAATAAACCAGCTACTTCTGATATTAAATGGGTTTCTCTAGGCTGGAATATTAATATCAATACTTATTACACTCAATCTAACACTTTATACTCCAATCAGACATGACTGGTATATAAATCAAAATCACCATTCAATGGCAGTGACAGTGGAAGTGCACCAACTGAAAATTTGTTTCTGTCTTTTCTCAAAATATTTGTCAGAATGTACCATATTATGTTACGAAATTATCCTGGAATTGGGGGAGAAGCTCCATTTTGAGGTGTTCTCTACATCTGAACTATATCTTATTTCTTACCTTTGTTTTTTGTTCTTCAGCATAACCAGGAGTATCTGTATCTGGAGGAAACGCCATGGTAACTCTTATATCATAGGGTTTTAACTGTAAATTAGTACAGAATAATTAAATATAATATCAATATCTTTTCTAGATTATTAATATCCATAGATCATAGATCAGATGGTTCATCTGGAATGTCTAGGAAAGATGAATTATTCAAAGACTTCACAGCTTCACGCACTGACAGAGCGTGCACCAAAATGACGTCAAGATTCTGAATTTCTGAACTGAGCCATGATAATCTGAGAAGGCCAAAATTTTACAGACAATATACTCACCTCCATCTGTAAAGCTTCTGATAAGCCTCTTAAAGCGAATTTAGAAGCAGAATAAGCTGTATAACCAAATAAACCCAGTTGTCCTGCTTGTGATGATACAAATACAATACGTCCCTTGTGTTCTTTCTTCATAGTAGGTATCACAGCTCTAGTTACATATACACTACCTACAATCACAGGAGAAATATTCAGATTTTATGATAGAGAACAAAGTTTCTACATAGTTTACCAAAGGCGTTATACTGATCTTAACATTTCATCCTTCTGTGACACCTCACTAAAGCAAAACCTTGGATATACATGTGATATAACTTTGCATTAACAACAGGGAAAGAAAACATAAGGAGCTTTTATCTACCTAAATAATTAATATCTAACATTCGTTTAAATTCTGTAACTGGTAATTCTTCAAATACACCAGCTATCGATGTTCCAGCACAGTTTATTAATAATCTTACTGCTCCAAACTTCTCTTCTGCCTGATGAAATGGTAAATGTTCTTCATATTACATTAAGAACATTTTGGGTAATAGAAAAGGATAGTAACTATATGGCGTTATCTTTAAATTCAACCAGATTCTTTAATATGATATCTTCTGTAAATTTCTCAAATAATAAACAAAATACATCAGCAAACACATACCTGTTTCAAACACCTAACATATGAACACCTAGACCCTAACAAGCACCCAAACTAAGACTACAATTTGATCACTGATATTTCCTCCTTAATTTCTCATTAGTTATGACACTTAATAAATATAGCAAGCTCTAAAACACAAAACCTGATATGAATGATATTTACCTGTTTAACAGCTTTTTCTACTGGTTCATATTCTTTAGAAATATCTACAGAGATACATATTATACTCTGAAAGTAGAAGCAGAGGCATAAGTCAATTTTCTGCGAAGAAAATGAAATAGTTATCATTAGCTATCCCATATCAAATAGTTTTGTAACAACAATAAGCAATGTTTAAAATGTTCGCTTAATTATCATATATATGCCTTAACCCTTTCAACCCTAACGGTCAGTTTACTGGCCATATAATTCCGTACAGAAGGCGGTATAGCGGCTATTACCAAGTGACATCGCATAACGATGTCACTTGGAGTTCAGGATATATGATGCTTTATTTCATTTACACTCAAGGTACAAAAGGTTCAATATACATACAATATATCTGAAACACGGAAGCTGAAAAGCTAAAAGCTGAAGCTTCAGAACTTACCTGTGTATCTTTATTAATAAAATGTTTCTCTACTTCCACTTTAGCTTCTTGTAACTTATTCTATAAGTGGAAAAAAAAAATACTTTGCTGGTAACTTGATTGATTGAGGATAGAGCCTGGACTCCTACATGCCACATTGATTTTGTCAGTTAACAGGAAGTCTTTTCATATATTTCAATCATGTCTGAAAAAGCAACAAAATCAACAGCCCTTCAATGTTCTAAGCTTTTAATCACCTTGCAATAATTAAAAATCAATCAGACTTGCACCTGCAACAACATGCATTCAGATGTAGTCTACAGTTGAGACAAGCACTTACTTTATTCCTAGCCAGTAAGGTAACATTGGCACCTTGTTTAGCAACATTGATAGCTAAAGCTTTACCTATACCACTAGAACCTCCTGTCACCTGAAATGAATAAAATGGAGTTTTGCATCCTACTTATCTAGACCTTTCTTTAAAATGTTGTGATTTTAGTGCAGATGGTGTAAAGTTTACAGTTGTTGTCTGCTACTCAATTTGGTGTATTGTCAAAACAAATATCTAAGCCAATCTTATAATTAGTCGCAAGGAAAGCAATAGACATAGTCATAGTAAAAAGTTAGATAATAAATAGTCCTTAGCCTTAACATAACCCTAACTTTAAAAGAGCTTTAGCCTGAAGCACAGGACCAGACTGAACAAACAGGCATCTCATAAAGGGATTATATAGGTTACTAACCAGATAACTAGTTATGCAATAATAAATACTTTGATATTTGATATGAGCCTGCAGTATAGCCTACTTTCACTTTGTTTGGGGACTTTGATTCTACTCACCAAAACATGTGCCCCAGTTAGATTGAGTGGCTTAGGTGTAATCAATGGTGATACAAAATACAGAATAATAATCAAAATCATAAACACAGCTAAAATTATCCACCAAGACACCATTTTGATGAAAGTTTGTTGGATTGTTTACGTTTTGATATTATGGGAAGCTCGCGTGAAACTCTACCAGCGTAGCAGCTACTTACTCGCGTCAAGTTCTACAAAGTAGTGGCGTTTTCCGGTTTATTAGTTTTTTGTTGTCTGTATTCTAAAATTGGAGTTGCTTCCCCTTAATTATAAGCCAGACAGAAACCTCATAAGTGTGATATTTGTGAAAAGGGTTTCATACAGTCTAATATTTGAGTACACTTGAAAATAATCCATGAAGGTGTTTCAACACTCCAAGTGCACTCAATGCTGACATGAGGATTATCTAAAGGAAATTATATTTACAAATGTGATAAAAATAAAGCAATCAAGACAATTCCTTTAATCAATGTTTGTAGTAAGTCTTTTACCCTTGCAAAGTCTAATTGAGAGAACAAGCTGGACAGTTGAATATTGAAAAAGATATGCAGACTCATAAAAATATTCCCTCATTTGACCTAACTTGGCATTGCCTTGCCTTGCTCAATCAGGAGAAACAAAAGTAGGATCTAAACAATATCTAACACAAGACTTTCAATAATGAATGCGTCACATTCTAAACTATTCAGTGTCTTAACAGAACCTTCCAACCGAAACAGTGACCAATGAATAAAACCCTTGAAAAAAGTCTAGCTCATGAAGAAAACAAGAGCTTAAATGTGAGAAGCGGGATTTACGGATAGCATGACAACAATGTTTGTAAGGTCCATACACAATGTGGAAAGATAAAATCACACTGAATAGATTGAACACAAATTCATTTTATTATAACTTAATGTACGATGAAATGTATAGAATTATATAATATATACAAAAACTCATGATCTAAATTGAAATGATATATAACAATGAAAAATGAAGAATACAAATATTCAAAAATGATCTCATTCATACCAGAGGTGAATTAAACAAACATTGTATCAACTTGATGTAAGATGGTTTGACAGAGTATATGTACTTATTATTTCCTTAGAGAGAGAATTTTAGTAACTAGTGCTTGATGATCACTCTCCATCGTCACTGAGGAAAGCGAAAATTGGTGCATACCTACTTTTCATAAAAATTTGCCCGTGCTATAGGAGAGGTCTTGTGTAAGAGAATCTCAAGAAGCCAACACTAAGATATTCTGAATAGACACAGCTTTATGGTACTACAATAACTGGCTAACGTTTTATGCTCCATAAGGCTGTGTCTATATATCGTACTTTCAATTGCTGAACGTCATTTAAAGACTTCATTTGGAATCATTATTGATATGATTATGTTCATTAAATACACCTCTTACTAAAATCTTGTTTGAAAATTGCTGACTCTATATCTGACCGGACAATTATCTTTTGATAATGGTGGCATAACCAATGTAATCCAAAATATTAGAAAAATCTTATTTCTGAAAAAATTTGGAAAATGAATTGGTCTTCAAGCATAACATGACATTGTTGTTAAACTAAAAAAAGGTTATTTATTGGTCAAGGCAATGAAATAATGAATTTGACTTCAACCAAAACACAGGATCTAGTTTTACTGATCCTCTGTAGGTCAACAATTGTCACAAAAAAATTATTCACAGGCCAGATAAGAGTAAACAAGTTTGGTACTAGCTAAAACCAACTTTCATTCACATTAATACAAACACTTTCACACAATCAATAAAATAACAAAACAACCAAATATCTTCTTGTAATGTGCACTAGCAAAAACAGGTGCAATGGCAGTAAAAAAATGAGGTCAGATTTACATGAAATATGCATACAAATATTAAAACAGAACCTGAAACATGTTGTTATTCATAGTTTCATACTATGCAAAATATGCATATAGATAAAAAAAAATTGCAGGTATTGTCTAATGAAAGATGTTTTAAAATGTTTTTTAAAGTATCCAATGAAAGAATATATTTCTTTATATCTTTATCATAGTAATTACTATGGCTGGTAAGGAGAGGTATATTCACCATTTTGGAACACTGAACACCATTCTGAGAATTACTTTAAAAGAGTTCACAAAAAATTATATTCATTTGGTTATTAATCATCAAAAATGAAACCTTTCTTTTTTTTTGGGATTTTTGATCAATGTCCTTTTAAATTTTACAAATATAATGACATTAATATATTATATTCTTAATATCACTGAGACAGTTTTCTGAAATATTCTCTTTTTTGTCTTCTTCTTCTTCAAATATATTCTTCTTTAAATTCATTGATATCATAATTTTTTTCAGTTTTGTAATAAATGATTTCCTTCCTCTACAATAGACTAACACGTTAAAAAGACTTTTTGAAGCCTTTGACTCCAATGAAGCCATCTTGATGAACTGATGAACTGTAAACCAATCAATGGTGAGCCAATCTGCTCTAACTGTTGCAATGAACCACAACATCTACAAAATGAACCAATCAACTTTCGGTGGCGAACCAATCAGTCAGCATTGACCTTATAAATGAACTATGACCTGTACAAAATGAACCAATATGAACTTTTCACTATGAACCAATCAGCTAAGAACTCTGAGCTCTGAATCCAGATCCTGCAATGAACCATGACCCATTACCTCCAAATATGAACCAATCAGCTGTGTCCTCTACATGATTTACAACATTTACTACCATAATATGAATGAGAACATATTTTATGAACTGGCACTAAATGGCACCATTGAAATTCATCACTACAGGAAGACTGGCCTGCAAGGGAAAAACAGAGTAAAATATTTTATACTTTATGGTTCACTAATTTTGGAAAAAAAAATGATTTGCTCTATGCTGTAGGGCTTGAGAACTCCAAAAGAACTAAATTATAAAATGTTCAAATTCATATTGAGAAAAACAGAAAAACAGATATAAAATGACAATGTTGGTGCGGAAGGCAGATCACAATTTGGTTTTCAGATGCTTAAAAAGAAAATATTACTAGATTCAAATTATGCAGTTTAATTAGAACTATAAACAGATTCTGAGCGTTGCACAAGGTTCTCATGGCTTTTGGAACTTCCTTTTAAATGCTACCATAAGTGAACCAGAAATTAAACTGAAAAATTTACTCACCTTGACTAGAACTAAAACAAGCTGACTGCTGACAATTTTTTTTGGAATCTGGTTTTGGTAGAGGACAGTCGTTAGTGGTATTACCTACATTATCTACACAGCGTACTGTTCGTAAGTTCATACCCTCCCCACAAGATACTGAGCACTAAAAAACAAATATTGAAAGATGGTTATCATAAAAGCACTGGCCATGGTAGCATAACTTTTTCTTAAGAGCCCTATAACGTTGGTTTATGTAGGTTAACAAATCTTGCCCTAAGAAGTGATATTCAGATCTGATTTCGTCACAGTTAATAGACATGTTAATTTGTTTTCACACTTAGCACACTCATTGAAACTGACCAAGGGGTTTGACAGAGAGCTTAATGAGAACATTAGACATTATATTTCAAACATACCTGTGTCCAAGGTCCAGTTTTCCAGATAGATTTCTGACAAGGTGGAAGCAAACAATGAGTTATTAGTGGTGTATTTCTGGGTTTGTGAACATTCTGACAGTAATAGTCTGAGACTCTTCTATAATGACCTCTACTAGCTACACGACTACAGCGATACATTCTTCTCTTTATACCGTTATCACAGGTTGTTGAACACTGAAAATATTACAGAAATTAATTGATATATGTGAGAAATGTCATGTAACTTTATTAAACGCTCACTTCCTGGTGGTAATTATTTATGGTGATAAGAGATTTAGACAGATATATGAGAGGGTTAGAGTATGTGCGGATTATACTGGCAATTATACAGTATACGACTTACCTTTCCCCAAGAAGTAATCAACCATTGGTAGGAGATAACTCTCTCATTGAGTCGTAGTAAACACGCGCCTCTACGATAACAATGTTTACGCTGAGATGGACGTGCAAGATCTTTACAATGAGTATCAGATATTTCTACATTGCCTTGTACTGTTTTCTTTTTACATGACACATCTCTTGTTTTATGTCCTTGACCACATGTTACTGAACACTGAAAGGAAAAAGGAAATTAAAATGGAGCAGATAATCTAGGAATGATCAATACCAAGAGGTTTGGCCAAAAACCAGCTGGTAGACGCGATCTTCATGTAACCAAATTGTTATCATTGTAAAAAAACATTTGCCTCAATTGTGTTATCCCTCAAACATTCAGACACCTACAATATTTTGAGGCCTAATAAAAAAACAATGAAAACAAAATTCCACAACACACCTGTGACCATTTTGCTGGCATCCATCTTGGTTTACAATCATGTTGATTACAATATCTTTTCTTTGATTGTTTTGGAATATGTTTACAGAATCTGGGTTTGATTTTAATATCTTTATCTTGTGATATCTTCTGCCAACATCGAATGGTTCTTTTTTGTTTCCCACCTCCACACTTCTTGGAGCATTCTCCCCAATTGGAAGTTTCCCATCTGAAAGAGTGAAAACTGGCATGATTTTTTTTCTTTTTGTACTTTGTTAAAATATACATGTCCTTAATTTGTTTTTCCTGAAACGGCTAATCATGAGAATTTTTCTATATCTTAAAATGTATCTTAATTTATCTATATATAAATTGCACAAGCATGATGTAAACTCTTTACTAGGTTAATGTTTTCTGAAGTGAATGGATCATAGGTTTAATATTATAGTCTAGGTTGAAAACTAGGATTAATATCACAAATTAAATCCTTTTACAAACCTGGCAGGACAGGGTGATTTTGAACACTGTCTAGGTGGGGTACTAGGTTTAATATTATCATCACAGTTTAAATCATTGACAACTTTATTATCAGATCTCATACATTCTACACTTACATTCTGTATCCCTGAAAATAAGAAGACATGATTTAAGTAGGATCATTTCTTCATTTTCATTACTTATCCTTACAAGTAGTTTTGCTATATTATCATCATATTTTTAAGATTAAAATCCAGAACCAGGCCTATATTTTAAAGAAATGTTACCAGAAATGGGTAGATTTTAGTAAATGATGCCCTAACTCCTAAAATTCTAATCAAATTATAAAAACATAAATCAATTCCTAAAATTTAATGAAGAATCTGTATTTCACCAGGCCTAGTAGAATCCGTTTCCTAAATCATACAAAGATCTGATTATAAAACCTACCCCCAGCACAGCTATGAGAACATGTTGACAATATGGTATTCCATCTATAACTATACTGATATTCATCCATTGATATCCTCGATAGTCGTTTATCTAATGAATATTCATATTTTATACCATAATTCACACCTCGCGACAGCATCTACAATTAATAAATATTAAAAGTTGTTCTGGTGTCAACTCCCTATCTCTCTCCAAAAACCCTTTCTCAGGATACTTTAGTTGCACAATAGCGGTGATTCATTTCGTAGACAAGATCAAAGCAACCTTAGTTTTTGTAGCTCAATAGTAGGGCCTTAGTGGCCTTAGTTGAAAATTAACAAGATCAAAGCACCGTTTGTTTTGTAGTTCACTAGCCAGTTAGATGTTTTTAAAAGTTAAAATAAAAAAAAGTTACCTCCAAAACAATGTATTCCTTTAAAGGACCATCCGATTCTAGTTTCTCCTGCTGGTCTGTGTCTTCATATTGGAAGCGAGAACCACCGATATTATAAACCCCTGGCGTAGATATCTGTCGATTACCATTGATATAATAGTCACCATATTTATTACGTAATACCAGATAATTACTCGATGGTTTTGTTTCCTCTATTTTGATTTTTCTGGCACCAATAGGTAGGGTTATGATATGTTGATATGCTAGAAGATAAGTAATCTTAAAATTTGATTCTGGTGTCAATATTCATATTCAGTTTTTTTTCATACATGGTTAAATTATTTTCTAATATAAAACTTAAGGAATAAATATTTTGTTCTTTAGCATAATGTGTGATTTTTTTCCACAACCAATCAAAGCCTTAAATCAAAATTTTCTCAAAAAATATTTTTAAGGAAGATAAGCAGCAACATTTTTCTACTTACCATTCTGTCTGATTTGATCATTAAAAACACCAGTTATCAAACTACAAGTAGAGTTATCTCCCTGACATACACCACATCTATCATGATGGGTTTCCGAATCAAATACTAGATCACAACCATAATCCTACAGGTTTAATAAAAAAAAAAGTGATTCACGACTATCAGGGGATATCTGAATATCACATACCGAAAAAACACAAAAGGTATCTCACTCTGACCCATCTGTTTATGGGCAGACAAAAAGAAACCATCAATGGCATAAAATTTGATCAATATTCAGCTAGTGGACAGTATATTATTATTAGATATTTAATTTTGGTATTTTTGGAAAAATAATAGATTTATCTCACAACCAGTTCCAGTGATCTACACAAAATACTGAGACAGTGGCTTTTCAAACTGAACAACAAGTAATAACATCTAATGAACATACCTTACAAGATCCTTTAATACATCGTCTATCACTATAATCACTACATAGAGTACCATCTTTAACTTTATTATTCAGAGCAAAGAAAAAATTATAATCTTCAGCTTGACAGTACAGTTTACACTGATCTTCAACTGGAATTAAACACATAGTTTATTATAGTACTAGAACTACTGCATCATTTAATAAGTTGCTTGACCAAGGACCTTAAATAATTTATCTCTCCCCATTATTCAAATCAACTCAACTTCAGATGGATCCTGAGAATCCACAAAGGATAATTACCAAAAGGTTTGAACAAGTAAACTTGTCGAAATGAAATGAAATGAATGGAGTTTTACATCCTACTTTCTGCACCATATGGGCTAATGAAGAAAGAAGTAAACATGTAGAGAGGATACCCATAACTTGAATGAGGTGCTCTATTTGTAAAATTTGGTTGTTTCATAAAAATTAGTTTACGATTTATAGGAGAAAAGTTATTCTACCTTTTTGAATATATTTTTTGTATTTTTTCCATGAGTAATACCAGCCTCTGAATAACTTTCTATTATAGTCTTCACATTGTTCTTGTCTATAGTCTTTATTGTCTTTACATTCCTAGTTTATCAATACATACACTATTAAATATCATATATCATATATTAGATATCATGTTAAGAAAGCATTTGTTACATTAAACATATGGATATTCTTATCAAACCCTATCGTGACCACAGAAAAAGGTCACTGAGTAATAGATAGTTGATTTACTAATGTTTTAAAAGTTCCAGTTTTTGCTTGAATGAAGACATTTTTGACCTATGCTATAAAAAATTGTAACTCTATCAATTTGAAATCTCTACTAGAGCATGACATGGATGGAATTTAAGTATTAATCTGTTCCTACCTGAATGTTACATAGTTTATACATCTGACTATCTCCTAGACAAGGTTTACCATTATATTCTGGTCTGAAATAATACACAATCAAATCTTTTGCTCTTCTGTAAACTTTGCAGAATCCTTACCGTCATTAAAACTTCAGAAACATTAAAATTCTATTATTTAGAATAATCATAACTTAAAAAACATACACCACAAATAATTTGATAAAAATATTGGCTCTTCTGCTCCTGAAGACATTTATAGTACAATGATAGAAAAATTGATGGGCATCTATTAGATACTATCTTGACTAATACAAAATATTGACTGTCATTTAGAACAATGGACCAACAATTTCGAACTTACTTTGGATTGTTACATTTTCTTGATCTTTCCTGTATTCCTCCCCCACAAGTTCGAGAACAGAGAGTCCAGGATGTCCAGTCTGACCAACCACCATTTACATCTTTATTTCTGAACACTTTTCTCTCACAGCGCGACTGTCTACACCACTATAAATAGAACAGATATAGAATAAGAGGAAAAAAATATATTTCGTCACATTTTTTAAGTTAATTCTGATAAATTTCATGACATTTCCTAATATTTATTCATTAGCGATTCTTTTGTCAAAAGTTTCTGACTTATTATGAAACAAATTTGTAAGCTGACATTATGATTCTCATATATATTGTAATGACTGTATATAAAGTCTATTAAATAACAACCAATATTTTTCAACCAGAAATTCTCCAAACCAACTGAATCCACAGCAAGGAAAAGGTTTTTATATTTAAATGCTTGGAGCTTCTCCGGATTGTAACACTTTCTTCGATTTGCTTCATTGGTGATTATCACTTGCAATTTTGAACAGATTATGGGACATACATATGTGGGTTGAGTATTTTTTCACTCAGAAGTTGAATAATAGAATAATAAATGTGATATCGTACCTACCATCCCTAACCCACATTCTGTACCTTCAGCTGCTGGTAAAAACTTGGTCTCACACATATGATTACTTCTATAACACCATAAACTCTGACACATTTTATTCTGGAAAACAATAAGTGAGCAATTTTTTATCTAAATGCTCTACTTATAACCAAATATCGGTACATAATCTATTATAATCTCTTTTCCACATTTGTCAAAGGTTGAAATTTTCACCCATTTCAAAACCACATGGTCTTGTTATTTGTCATCACTACTGTATGTAGTATTTATGCTTCTACTATGTTTACAAGATTGTCAGATATCGAGGATTGCTCATTTTCAAAATACTTGTACTTACATCACCAAAGTCATATAAACAAGCTTGAGCATCATTTCCAAATAACCATTTACACTGAGTAGTGGCATCATACAGTTCTCCTGGTAACTTTTCAGGAAACTTGAACTCTGCTATAGAATCAGGTCTGTCAGACAGACATGTGGATTGGACGGTGCTGGAATTAAAAGGAGCACTAGTTTGGAGGTGGCACTGTTTGTAATGCAAAAATTTACAAGATAGGAATTTTGGCCTCCAAGTAATGGTATAAATGGATGCAATTATAAAACAATAATTGGTGCATTGTTTTAAAGCTGAGATCAGGCTCATTTTGGATAAGCTAAACCCGTTTTTGATATTGAGTCACTGTAATTTTGCTATGGTGGGTCACATTTGTCGTACCCACTGATATTGATAGCTTTTGTTACCTTTTAGCTATGTTTGGGAGTAAATGGCAGTAAAACTTGGCATAAAGCTAAGGATACTTCAAACTGAATCAAAAATTTATTTCTTTTACACAACAAAATGAATCTAAAAAAAATATGTAGCAATGGAAAGGGGTTGACTTACTTGAGAAATCTAAGAAAATAGTCTCTACTACAAGATGACCACTGGAATATCCCTTTATTGCCTGTTAATGTTGGTGCCATGATATTACCACCTTGTGACTTACATTCATTACCTTCACCATCGTGGAACATTCCAAAACTAACAGAAATATAAATCAATAGTCAAAATATGCAAAATTATATATACATGTACTACATACTCTGAAATAAGTCAGTTGTCTGAAAAGTTCATAGCAAGAAAACTCTGGGCTCTGTTGAAGATGAATATTTATGATATACACTTACTTATATGTTCTAGGATTAACTTTTTGATTCTGATACCACAATACCATGATAACAGTGGTCTGAATAATGCAAAAATGGCTCTCAGAATGCTACTATAAAAGTGAGACTTACTTATGTCCTAATTCATGAGTAATAGTAAAAGCTGTAGCAAGACCAGAATCTTCACTCATTATACAACTTCTTAATGGATTACACATACCATTGATTGGGGCAAATCCTGTGGATATAAATATTTGAGCAGTCCATTTAATTTTGAATATCAATAAACATAATCAGCAAACAGTTCTCAAAGCTCAAAAATTGTGGTTAAGTGATCTCAACTCTGCTAGTGAATATTGCTAAAACCCTGTTCCAGGGCTTCTGTTGAATAGAAACTTGTTACCTTTCAACCACCCTAACCCCCATTCCACAGATTTTTCAGCAAACTAAAAGAGACACTCCCTTCTCTTTGCCTACACAATCCTCTTAATTCCTCTGATCTGAAGCTTACCTAGAGTATCACATGGTGAATTTTTATAAGAACAGATATCTAGACCAGTTAATAAAATAGCATGATCATGTCTTCGACCAGTGGAATCACTCAGAGTTGACTGCCATTGACAGAAACTATTTAATGTGTAATCAGCATGGTTGTTGATATGAAGACCTGGCTGAATAAATAGAACATCATAGAGATCAGCAAAATAAATGGATAAAATGTAACCAAACAAGAGCTTCTTGGGAAAATGACATGAAATCAGAAGCAAACAGTCTTTATAGCTTCTTTGAAGACAGCCAACCACACAGTGTATAAACCTTGATGGCCATTAAATCATATTTTCTCATATGTTAATGGTTCTCTCAATCAAGATACTAATATGAGACATTTTTATCTGTACGTTTATCACAAGCTAATCTGCTTATTTGTAAGTACCAAACTTTAAATACCTCATTATCTTCTAATAATACTAATCCAACTAATAAAATCTCTACTGGTTTACCAAGACTGTTATCTTCAAATAATTTAGATACCTATAAAATATATATAGGGCAATAGAGAGAGATCAATTTAACAGGTATTACCCTTCAACCTACAGTATTGCTCTTGTATCAACTTGTAAGAAAGATGGTACCTTCAGGCTTGGCATTGATAGATCAAGATTCTGAATCATGCAAGTTTGTCACAAGAAACAATATACATGCTGTCATAAACTACATTTCATGAATTCAAGGCAAACGTATTTAACCATTCTTGATTTGAAAACAGGGTTTTGGCAACTAATTACAAACTCTAAGTCAAATGTCTTAATATGAATTATTGAGTGGCTTTTGACCATTTTCAGAGTGAAATTGATTTGAATGAGAACTGTAATAGAAAACGAAACTTACAATATTAAAAATGCTAAGAATATAAGTAGTTATATTTTGTTGGCCATGTTTAGCCACCATAGATTTATCAGCTACTACCAGGGTCTCCACTGTATTTTTTAATCTAGTCGACACGATGCCTGATAATTGTTTTAGTTCAGCTCTACGATATATTGATGATGCTGTGCTGTAGGAATTATGCAAAATGTCACGATCTGCAAGAGATAAAAAAATAGACAGAAATGCAGAGGGGTATGGACCTGATTTAAAACTTCCATCAAAACTGTATGCTATGGTACTATCATCTTAATCTGACTGCCTTTTAAAAAGTTAAAGTTAAAAAGTCTGGTAAAACTAAGAAATACCAAAATATAATACAAAAATTGATAAAACTGTGTTTAAAGGGGTTTTTTTAATAATTCTTGTTATGAATACTGGTGAATACTCCCCTCTCCTCCCCTTTAAGAAAATCTCCACTTACAATCTTTATTAAAATGATTAAAATGTTGTTGACGGAATTCTTGATGAGGTAGTTGTGTTGTTTTGTAAATAATATGAGGTTGTTGTTGTTGACTGTTGTTGTTGTTTATTATAAGATGCTCTGGTAATGGTTCTATCACATAATCTTCACCAGGTAGGCGTAACACACCTGTCTGAAAATAAAGTTAATAAAGTCAATTCCTTTCATCCAATCTGCTTAATGATATTAAACAAAAAGCTATAAAGCCCATCGTGTGTTATGAGTAAAACCAACCAATATATTTAAATCATAGTCCCACAGTTCAAGTCAAAAATCAAACAAAATCGCAATGACATGAAATGAATCCAACAGCTAGTCTCTTGTTATTTTTCATATTTATTGAGATAACAACATGAGAGTTTTAATAGTTGACATTAATAATGCTACACTATGTAAATACAAACATTGTAACAAAAAATCATTGCCATGGATTCATATAAATGTTTGGTTACAGATATATGAGCTAATTTCCTTGAATGAAATTCTACCAGCAAACTCAACAAGTGTAGATCTCATGTTTTCCCAATCCATGGGAAATAAAACAGAAGGTTCACTGGGTCAAATTTGTATTTTACACCAGAAAATAACACAGAGTCTGAGCATAGTTAAGGGTCAACAGACAGAAAACATCAAAAACTCTAATCGGTGATGATAAATTTGTTAAAGCATGCTAACGACCGGCCTTCAAACCCTTTTATTATGCGCAGGAAATGATGGGAAAAAATTACTGCATCAAATTACACTTCTCATCTTCTCATGTTTAAGCTTTTAATCCATTTGTAAGCATCAAAATCTCTATAATCCTAGTAATCTGATATATAGATACCTTAGTTGATAGATAGATGAAGGACAGCTAGTTTTTAAAGATGAAAGTATTCATTTCTTAAAGGGATCTTAAGACTAATATAGGATGCCTCACACGCATATTGCCCTGATGTTTTTAGAGGTTAAGCCTATTGAAGTTTTTAGAAATAAGAGCAATTGTCCTATTTTTCTGCATCCTAAATGGCTGATAAACACAATTCAGACATATTTCATAAGTCTCTGAATCTTTCGATAGATATAAGCACTAATGCTTATCAAAAGAAGGAAAGATCTGAAGATGGCAGGATCCCGAATTGACAAACCACATCTGAAAGTGACACTTAGTATTCTAGAAAATTTAACATGCTCTGTTGCTCTGACTCAAAAAAATAACACAATGGAGCCTGTAACTTAAGCTGTTAAACATGAAAATTATGAGCTTTTCCTTGAATCCAAACATCATGCAGCATTAACATATCATTTGCCATACACACAAAAAGGCATGGAAAAAATCTAGAAAACTTTGGTACAATTGCATAATAATACAAATACGTTTCACAACAAAAACATCAGGAGAGTAGGAAAAACTACAAAAAATGTGAAATTGCATAATAACACAAATACATAACAAAAACATCAGGAGAGTGGGGAAAGAATTTAGAAAAATGCCACAATTGCATAATAAAAACACAAAGGAATACCAGAGTATATCTTATTCCCTCTAGAAATATTAATATATCTTCATAACGTTTTTATTTACCAGTAAATATCACAAGATCAGACAAATACACCATCAACATTTCAACCAGTTACCAGAAACAAAGTAAAACTACTTCAGAGCTCAGAGAAGTCAAGAAATACTTAGTTTTTTAATCATTTTACAAGAATCTTCTCTCATTTTGACCTTCTGATATTCAATATTGTCTACAATAAGTTTTTACTAAGTACCAATACATGCTCTACACAAGATTTATAAGTAGGGTGAAATCCTTGAATTTTACCAGTCATGTTTGAAAACTCACAGCTGTACATGCTGTATTTGACAGTCATGTGTGATTGAGCCTCAATAATTACTGACAGAATTTTTTTTAAGATATCTGTTTGTGGATATTTCTAATATTTTTGACAATTTCGGATATCAAGTACCTTAAAAATGTCTAACTCATTGCAAATTAAATTTCAAGACTTTGGAAAATAAAAAATGACCTCAACAATTCTTTATTAACATCAACAAATGTTTATAATTAAACTAAAAGAGTTAAACAATTGTTAACAAAAACTAAAAACAACTCATCAAGGTCAAAGAGATTAAAACAATTTACCAAAAGGTAAAAAGAAAATACCAAATAGTATCATTTGTAATCCCACAGGGCCTAGAAAATAATTCAACAGATAAAGAAAAGTTACTAAAACAACAGTGTTTTAATTACCAGTACTAATTTCAAAATCAGATTTAAAGTCCCTGTATGTCAGAGTCTGAGAATTATTCCAATTGAAAAGTAGTTTTTAAGAATAAAAGGTCAATTAAAGTGACTTTTGAAGAATGCCTAAAAACAAGCGAAAAACAAAAACAAAAAGAAGTCTCTAACCAATCAGATCACTAGAACACTAAAATCATCCAATAGTTGACACCAAAAGAAAAGTGTCATGTACCTTATCAAACCACAATCCATAAAATGACAATAAAGTTAACATGAGCTAAAAAGAATAACAAAGGAACTAAACATTGTCAAAAAATATATACAATCTAACATGGCTTTAAGTTGAATCTAATCCCAATAGTATGATAAAAGATAGGCTGTATTCTCTATCTTTACTCTACGGTAGCCACCTGTTATTGTAGTGTCTCTGTTTCAGTGTTTTATCAGATCTAATATCCCCCTCGATAGACATTAGGTTACATATTATACCAGTTAATTATAGTCAGTATCTCACCGCAATATCTTACTGTAATTTCAACTAAATTTATACCATAGTTTTTACAGCACAATAATTACTTGATAACAAAAGTTTTTTTAGTGCTCTTATGTCAGTCCAATGCCCTTAAGAGGCAGTTTAGAGCTATTTAGAGTTAAAAATCAAGCTACTAATATTCAAACTAGAGCTACTGAGAGTGAGACAAGAGACTTTAAGAGCCAAACTAGAGCTATTGGGAGCCTGACTAGGTATCTTGTGATTCAACTAGCATTAAGGTATATTGAGACAAGTCTCAATGAAAGCACTGGCCTAGGTCACAGAGCAATAGATAAGTTTATTATTAATGTGAAAATTAGTTAATCATTAGTATGATTTTAGTTGAAACGACACACACACACACTTTCTCCTCCGAGTCAAATTATAGCTCACATAAATGATGTCAGATCTCATCCAGTTAAATTAGATATCATGAAAATTAGAGCTAAACTCTTGATCACTTGACTTGTGTCAGTCCTCATGGTGGCATTCCCACCTCTATCTGAAAGAATTGTTTATAATCCAGAATGTTACTTACCACTCCATGACAGAGAGACACAGCAGCTTGACCACCATCTTTAACTGACGTCACATCACCAGTGTATAAACAACTTTTATCGCGAATATCAGGAACACTGGTCGAGGTATTCATTAACTGAGTCTTGTTGTCATGGTTACGGAGGTACACTTTGAAACCAGGAGCGAGGAGTTGAGTATTAGATTTGAGTTTCAGATTAAAATGAAGAGAATCTCCTGTGATGTTCAGGTATATTTGTTTCTGATGCACGGCTCGTCGCCTCCTCGGTGATTTGAAATATGAAAAATCTGACAGTTCTTCTCCCTGAGATGTCACTTGTATAGGATAAACAATTTGGTAGGCTGAAAAATATAAATTTAATAATAAGACAAACAGTGGGATTTAGAACAAGATTAAGGTATTTCACTGTAACATATAGTTCCTAAATTTAACAGCACTTAGAAATACAGTTCTAACTTCAAGACCTAGGCCTGCACTTTTTATTGGAATTCTATTCTCATAACACCTTAACACTGTAATTTTCAGTCATTTTCGCAGATATCGAATTTTTTCAGGGCTTTTATATTATTTTTACGCAGATAGAGGTGCTTGAGAGGAGCAGAGGCAGGGATTCTTGTAGTATCTCCAATCATTATATATCAAAGGTTTATCTAGATTTTCTCAGCATATTATTCACCAACATGTTTATGACCAATACACATAAAGAAGAAATTATTTCAATAAATTCATAAATCATAGTTATAAAGTTTCTATGGCCTATCCTGGGAAAATCAGACCTTTCTGATTACATTGTTTATTTCAGTATCAACAACCACCAAGGTAATCAAATTAATGTCTTTGAAGTTTGGTTTATGAGAGTAGAATCAATATGAGGGGAGATAATTTGGTGACCCCCCATGGTCTTTATTATTATAATTTGATGGTATAATTCACTTTTTTAGACTTTATCATTGTTTTATTGTAAATAATCTAATTCTAATGCAAATCGTTCTTGAGATATCTTTTGAATGAGTTTAATCTTTTTTTCATATTTGTTCTAAAATTGTGTGTTCTTAGAAAACATAACCACAACCCATGCTCTCAAAAAAATTGGTCACCCCCAGCATGAAATCTGTACATCTATCTTACAAACAAATTATATATGGCAATTCTCCCCTTGACTTATCACACTAGTCTACATGTTTCTAGCCTGATAACGGCCCTACATAGCGGAATATAACCATAAAGTACACTTCGACCAACATTCTCCCCCTCCCCCCTTTTTCCTCTAACATAAATTAGTCTACCTCCATCAAG